CAGCTGGGTGGATCTTGACAGTAATGTCGGGATCCGTCCCGGCTGCGGCGGTCTCAGTATACCTGAGTCTCCTACCATAGCGTCCCTTTTCATTCAGATGGCGACGTATAGTGCGAGCTGACACAGTTGTATCCTGTGCATTAAGGGCAACTTGAATTTCTATGGAAGTTGATCGAGGGTCAATATCCACCATTTGAATAATCCTTTGTTGCAATTTTTGATCAAACGTTTGGAGAGATCCCGGTATTATGGTTTGCAAGCCCTGCTTATCTACACTTCTCCCTACTGTTACATTAGGGTTAATTCGTCCAAAAGCAAATGTCACTTTATACGGCACGTTTCCTTGGCGACCCCATTGATAGGTTTCCGGTAGCCTAGGACCTTCCACTATAAGCCTAACCTTCCTTTTCCTGCTATCATTCTTCCCTTGCTTTTCCTCCAGATCTACTAACTCCATGATTGTTGAGGCAATGGATGTTGACAAATAATTTGGTTCAAGCTTTTCCTCTTCCACATAGTCCCCTGAATAATCGTCCGCATAAATTTGCCAGGTGGTGTGGCCCAGATAGATGGCCAGCAAGATGTTTATCATCTTTCCATTCATGTTCCAGAGACCTTGACTTGCCAATCTCTCGCTCCAATAGGTCTCTAGAAAAAAAGAACAAGAGCAGAATCAAATTCCCATCAGCAGTATCTTTTACACTGATCTGCATGAACCCACTTATTCTTTGCACTTAAATATAAAAACCCCATTATTAGTAATACACACGAATATATTTCAATGGGTACACTCAAACAGTATATAATGAATATAGTTTGGTTATATATAAAAGTACATGTATAAAATGTTACTTAAAATCAGTCAATTAAATAGGCAGATAGATGCTACATATAATATAATATTATTATCATAACATTGTTACTAATTATTATTATCACAATGAATAGTAAGGTTTCATAAAAAACTTTTAAATAAGCCCCTTTGTCTATTCATGAAAGAAAGAGAGAAAAAAAAACTCTTTAGAAATTCTTATCTCTTGCAGGGAGGCAAAGAAAGTAATCAACCAGCCCCATACAGGCTGGCACCGTCTTACTTGATGTGCTTCTGAGACCCCCACAATTTACGATCGGAGGCATGTTTATACTAACATTCCGATCTCCTGCTCTGACCATCTCTTGTTTAAGGAAAATGAACTTATATTCACCTCATATCACATAGACAAAATGGCTACTAGTATGCCCATAGACACATTTGTAAAATGACATGTTTAGGCCTATGAAATCGATTCCTTTTGGCCCAATAGTTCTGACACCACTTTTCTACCTCCCTCTTTCTCATGCATTTCTTGTCCCCTTTTAGCAAATCATACAGGGACCTTGCCTCTTCTGCAAACACCTCAATGAAGTCTCTGCAGAAACCAACGACCTCCAATAATTGCCTTAGCACTGTCTTAGTACTTGGCCTGGATAACTTCCTGATAGTTTCACATTTGTTCGGGTCAGGAGTCCTCCCCCCCCTGTGAAACTATCACACCTAAAAAACACACTGAACCCTTCATTAACTGAGCCTTTTTCCGGTTCCACTTAAGGCCCGCATTCCTAATCAGTGTCAGGAGCTCATTCAACAGGGCATAGTGCTGTTCTTTCGTTTCAGTTTGCAAAAGAACCTCGTCCACATACTGAATGATACAGTCTGGTTCCAAAAACGGCTTCAGAATGTCAACCATACAGATGTGGAAGTATGCTGAACTGGATTTGAACCCCTGTGGCAACCTGCAAAATGTGTATTGTTTTCCCTGAAATGTGAAGGCAAATTTGTATTGGCTATCCTCATGTATGGGAATTGAAAAATAGCCATTTGATATATCGATCGATGAATAAACTTTAGCAGAGGGCTTAAGCGCTGTCATCATATCTGGCATCTTAGCGACTACATTTGTAATTGATGGGGTACATTTGTTCAGCGCACGAAAATCTAAAGTGGGCCTCCAGCCCACCTCCTTTTTTACTGGCCAGAGGGCTGCGTTTGCTTTTGACTGGCATTCTTTAATGACGTTTTGGGCCAATACATTTTCCACTGTACGTTCTATGTACGGGATCGACTCGGGTGGAATTTTATATTGCTTTTGCGGTGGGGGATCTGGTCCCTCAATTTTAACAATCATGTTTGATACTTTGCCGCATTGAGCCTTAGATGTTGCCCACACTTTGTCATGTTGCCACCAAATTTCAGCCAGTAGCTGGTCACCTGTTTGTATAAAATGCCTGTGGATCAAGGATGTCATCGGTCTTAACTGATGCAATTTCACAACTGTCCATAATCATGTGTACCTTGCCTTTGTACCTAGACCCTTTCCGCAGCACCCAATTACAGAGATCTACAATAAGCCCATGTGCCCTCATCAAATCAAAGCCCAAAATAGTACCTTCATGCGTCGGGGAAAGAAACAGAGTGTGTTCCACACATAACCTCCCGATGTCAATTGGCACAGGTACTGATTCCTCAGAGGGTACTAGCTGTTCGCCAAAACCTCTTAGGAAAATTTGTTTGCCAGTAGGATTCTTCTCTAGGTTGATATTAGTTAAACTGACGGCTGCTCCCGTATGTGCGATGGCCCCCTACCGCCCCCTGGATACGTGGTCTGCCTCATTTGTCCCCTTGAAGATGACATACTAGGGACAAAACCGGGGCCTGACATCCCTATGGTTTACAATAAGGATTGGTTGGAGGTGGGATTCTAAATTCCTCCGGGATGTTTGTCATCCGTTTTTCTATATTCTGTAGTTCTTTGAAAAGAGAACCATATAATGTAACATCGGGTACTTTGTTCTGTCCCGCTGTCACCTTATGTGATCCCGGTTTCTGCTGTTCTTTCCTGCGGATCTTCTAGTCATTTGGGCGACAGTTAAGTCGCCAGAATCGCTTCTGTTGTAAAGCCGACAGTCGGCTCTACAAGTTTAAACAGAGTCCCGGCGGCAAGAGTCGCATTTATTAGCCATAGAGTACAAAAAAATGCTGTCATCAGGAGACATATCAGGAGAACTGTATGTGGCCCTATACAGGGACAAATACTCATTACAAAACAGGACTGGGTCATCACCCCTCCCAAATTTGGCATTTTCTAGGGCATTTGTACCTCTAGTATCTCTTCCCCCCATTATGCGTTGCAATTCCTTCATTCTATCCGCTGAGTTTCCCCAATTTGAGTTAATCTCAGGAGATAGACCTTTGTGAATACTGACTGGCGGCTGCAGTTTTTCACACAGCTGCAATGGGAGCCATGCACGAAGGAGTGCACAAGCATCCCTATTGCCCAAATTATACTGCATCACTACAGCTTCCAATCTGTTAAAGAGGCTTATGGGTGAAGCACTAGTGTCAAATTTCCCCAATATCTGGCACAGATTTGTACGATCCTGTATAGAGAGTGCTGTGGATTGGGTGTTAGTGCTACTACGCAAAGTTTCTAGTCTTTGCCCAATCCTTTGTGACTCAGGAGTGAAAAGAGATGTACTGGGGTTAGGAGATACTTCAGGGTCATCAGCAGAATACACTGGATGCTCCTCTCCCGCCATTATGTCTCTTCGCTCCTGTGCCCCACAGGTATTAGTACAACAATGGTTGTACCCTTTGCCCATAGACCGTGATTTTAAAGACAAAATGTCCTGATCTTTCTGGACCAGCCGAGCTCTAGACTCACTCAATTCTTCCCTTAGCATTGAAATTACCTTCTCATTTGCAGACTCCTTCTGCACTATTGAGGCTATAGATTGTTCCCTCAGCTTACATCGCTCTTCACACTCATTCCATCTATCCTCCAAAGCACAATTTTGCTCAATCAGTTGATCAACCTCATCTCTCAGCTCATCACATTCACCACAATTCGAATCCACATTCGCAACCACTGCAGAAATATTCTTGCTAACATTCTCTATCTGTTCTCTTAGCTGCGCTTTTTCAGTGTACCACTGAAGCTCTTTCTGTTCTGCAATCTCTCTCATTCGCAACAACATGCTCAAAACATTCGCCATTCTCGCTTTTTTTCCTTTTTTAGATGTTGGTTTAGTCTTCACTGTATCATTGTGAAGATCACATTGCTTTAACAAATCATTAAACTGATGGGTCAAAGCATCATCTGCACATGTGCTGAAGCTAGCAGAAGCATGCTTTGTAAGAAAATCTCCAACTACTTCCATTGCCATGCTAATGAAGGACACAATGAAAGTTGTCTAACTAGTACCTGCACACTAGTTAATTACACTGAATACGCAATTACAAGCAGTTACAGACAGATACACTCACAAACAAACACACACACACACAGCTGTTCCAAGTTAACCTGGACCTTATAGTCCACCAAGGAGATATTCCTGTCTCCTTAACACAACTGACTGCTACCCCCACACACTAATCCTTA